AGCCTTGGCAGATCACTTTTTAAATAAAAAAAACTATTACTGTATTTTACTGATAATAAGCACCCCCTCGAAGGAATTTTCATAACCAAAATTCTCGTGATCTAATGATTGGATCAGCATGATTTTGGTACCATTCGAATCATCACATTAAGGTGATTCGAATGGTACCAAAATCATGCCGATCCAATTATTAGATCACAAGAATTTTGGTTATGAAAATTCCTCCGAGGGGTGCTTATTATTGGTAAAATACGGTATTTTGGTATGTGTTCGTAAGAAAAAATATCACGTGACTGGTACGTGTCCACAAAAATTTTTGTTTTGAGTAGGGCTAGCACCGATTTGCAATAGCATAATATGCGCATAAATTGAATTTTATTGCAATAGCATATGCAATAGCATATTGGCAGATTAGAGCTAATTTCACATAATTAATAGGGCATAATCTGCGCATAAAATTGTATAGTTAACTTGGTTTAGAACCACGAACAAAAATAGATAAGTAATTAAAGTAGTTAAATATGAAAGAACAGGTAAAACCTGCTATATAGATTAGATAAACTGTTTAATTATTTTCTTTCATATAAAGATACTAGTCACAAGTTAGACTTCATCCTAAAAAAAGAAATATATGTGTGAAAATTTGAAATTATATGTGGTAAATTCATGAGAGAACAATAAAACAAAAGTTAGTAATTGAATAGAATAAAGAAAAAATTATATAAGTATACTCATTGTCAAGTAAAATCTCATGTTATTCACGTTGTAAAATAAATAAAATAAAGGCAAAATTATATATTTCTTATTTATTATAATATAAAAAGATACTTTTTTTTGTTTTTTTGTTTTTTTTTTTACAAATTTTAACGATGGTTTATTCTGATAAGCGTAGACTTGAAAATGCAGAATATAAAAAAAATTTTTATGTGGATGGCCAAAAACTGTTTTGTACATTTTGTCAACATGTTGTAGACTACACAAAAAAATCTACATTGGACTCACATTTAAAATCCGATAAACATAAAAGTAATATTATTAAAACAGAAAAATTAAAATTGACTCGCCAAACAACTCTTGATACAGCTAGTATTAGTTCAAATGAACAAGAGCTTATAAATATAGCTTTAGTAATGCATTTACTAAAGCTGATATTCCTTTATATAAAGTTGATAAGCTTAAAGATTTTTTTTTAGAAAATTGTAGAAATGGTAATTATGTACATTTTATCCTGTTAAAATTTTTTTATTATTTTTTTTATAGTGCATATATTAATATGCATGATTCGAAAATGCATAAAATGCGCATTCATATACATGTTTCGAATTATGCGCATTTTATATTATCTCTATTATTTAATATATTCTATTCAACAATTTAATTTATATAATTAATTTTTATTTAGGCGGTTCTATTGCAAGCTCAAAACAACTTCGTGTTAAATACTTACCAAAGGTGTTCGAAATAGAAGTATTAAAATTACAAGATCTTTTAAGAGACAAACGAATTTCTATTACTATTGATGAAACTACAGATACATGTAGCAGAGCAGTTATTAATATATTATTCAGTTTTAATGACCAAACCAAACTTGTCAAAACCGAATTTATTACTACTATAGATAGCACGTCAGTTGCTCAATTAGTTATAAAAACTTTACAATATTATAATATTTTATTTGAAAATCTTGTTTTTTTTATTACTGATAATGCAGCATACATGCTAAAAGCATTTCAAATTATATTTCCATTAATTCTGCAATTAAGACATAACCGTTGCTTAGCCCACATTTTAAATTTAGTTGGAGAGACGTGAGTTCAATATAAAAATTTTCAATTTTTGGTTAATGTTGTTAAAAATATCAAAGCAACATTTATCCATTGCCCAGCTTGTAAAAGGCATTGGATTAGTTTTTTAAAATCTAACTCTTTATTAGATAATGATAATCAAATTACTTTACCACCATTACCAGTTAAAACACGGTGGAATAGTTGGTTTAAATTTGTTTTTTGGATTAATCAAAATATTAACTAATTACATTCATTTTATATTGAGGAAGAACAGGTTAATAATGAAAGTCAAGCGATTCAAGAATTGGCAACTATTTTTAATGATCACACAAATACTTTTATCTTTGAAGTTTTAACTATGTTTATATCATTTAATGCAACACGGTAAGATTATTGTTTTGCTTATAAAAAAAAATTAATCTAACCTTATTTTATTTTAGCCTCATAGAGAATCTTGAGTTTTTTGAAACTAGAAATAAACCTGTTGCACCATTTGTAACACAACGTTTAATGCTTCATTACAATCGGGTATTATCGAACCTCCTATTAGTCAAGAAATAAAATCTAAATTTGAATATAATCATTTTGAGATGGAATCATACGTTACAATGTTTCGTGAAGCATATCAATTAGCACTCAACAAGTTCAAAAAACATATCGATCAACATCCCGCATTACCCTTATTTAAAGCAATTCAATGCTTTGATCCACGATTTATTCATATTCAACAATGTTGTCAAAATATTTCTTTATATTCAGAAATTCCAGAATTTAAATTACCAAATAATCAGATTATTCAAGAGTGGGGAATTTATTGCGGATTAACCGAAGATTTTTCAAATACTGAAAATTTGGATTTAGATATTTATTGGAAAGAAAAAACCCGAAGCTTACCCAATTTATCAAAACTAGCCTTAGATTACATTTGGCTCCCAGTATCTGGTGTAGATGTAGAACGAAGCTTTTCCATATATAAAAACATTCTTGCTGATAATCGACATTCACTTTCTGAAACATCTATTGCGGCATTGAATTTTATGTATTTCAATAACCGTACGGAAGAATAATTCAATAATAGACAAGTGAAAACAGTATTATATCCTGTAAGTATAAACTTTATTTATTTATAAAATTGTTGTTTTATTCGGCTTTTATAGCTCTATGGCAGATATTCTCACATATTTGTTTTAATTATAAGCGGTTTTGGTTATGGATACAAAAAAACATTAACGTAAAGCAAAGAATATGATCGAATACATTATATTTTTTAGAATTCAATAGCGATAGGCTTTTTTTTTTTATTTTTTTTTATTTTATTGTTTTTACGTATTTCTTTTTTTTTTTGATAATTATTATTTGAAAAATCATAAGGATCAGCCGTTTGTTAAAATGGTAATAAAAATTGAATTTATTTTATTTACATTTCAAAATTTTTACTCGCATATAAAGTTCACATATTTTACCTGTGGTCGCATATTTATACCTGATTCGCATAATTTGCAGCATAATTCTAAAAAATTTATCGCATAATTCACATAAATCTGTTTGTAAAGCAGGCAGAATTTGGGGTCTGTCGCAGCAGAAAATGGTAAGCCCTAGTCTTGAGATTCCAATAAATCACGTGCCTATAAATCAACCAATAGTTTGATTGTTTTTGCAATATAACAAAGTTTAAATTGATCCCTTCCCCCACTCTTCGTAAGGGAAATAACTTCAAACGGCCTTAATAAGATCAATTTCAAAAGCTTAACACGCCAATAAAAGTTTTATCATGTAGAAAATTTAACCATAAGATAATATTTTTGTTTGTACATCATATGGCTTAAACAAATGTAAATGCAACTTTATCAATTCTAAGTTCTAATATGTGGTATTATCATCATGATTTTTTGTTATTATCTGATTTTCCCGTTCGGTCACCAGTTATATTTTTCAAGTTAATAATAGCAGAATCAAATTTTTGTTTAGTATTATTTGCTACATCTGAAACTGAATTATGAATTTTCATAAGTTCAGGTGATCGTTTTTCATATTCGCAAAGTTTAGCCATCATGTTACGAGATGTTTGCGGAAGGAAGTAGTACGAAGATACTATAGTAAATAATACAGGACTAGCGATACGGACAAGTATATTACCTAAAATTAATTTAAAGTTTTAAGTTCTATGTAAAATTAAAACATATACCGGTAAATTGATAAAAAAAATTTATAACACACTTTTTCTTGCTGCAAGGCTTCCGGCTAATCCCGCAACGACAACGTATAGGACATCAGGCATTAAACGTTCATTTGGTGAGATTACTCCTTTTATTTCCCCTTTTTATAGAAATGAATTAAAACGCCTGTCAAATTCGCGTTCAAAATAACAATAATAATAATAATAACCGATACAAACTTTCGGTGGTTTGTTCAATATCAATCCATTGGTCAGTAACATTTCGGATATGTTGCTAAGTTGAAACCAATAAAGTAATAACAGTTTATTAATTGACATTAATCTTAGACAAAAAAATATAAAAGCATAAATTGTCAATATATACTTCTAAATCACTAATAGCTTGTGAAACTCGAAGCCTCGTATGTTTAATTCCTTGTTCCAATCTCGTAGGTGTTTTAACTATTATTATTTCTGGTTTTGGATCATCGTAGATTTTGAGCTAAATTATCCAAATCATTTAACTGTATTAAACCATAGAATAAAGGATTTATGACATTTATGATAATAATCCATTTTAATACCTTTTGTTTTTGCTCTTCGGCATATACTACCGGTACATTTTTTATCTTGCTTAAAGCAACAGATCCTACCACAATCCCAGCTACTCCTTTTGAGAAGGTGGTCTATTTTTAAACATTAAATACCACCATTTTACAGCATATATATAGGTTTTATCCACAATGCGAGCTTTTCGAAATATCCTTTACCTTTAAAATACGAAGCATGGGCTTAAATCGGTTCAATAAAAAAAAAAAAAATTACACGTGGATCTATGCATTTATATGTATTTTTAAAACATATCAGATATGGGCCTCTACGCGGAACCGTACCCTAAAACAATGCACTATGGGTTTTGATAATCTAATGGGTTTGATGCTAATATGGGGTTTAACCTAAATTTGGTGACTCTATTCAGGGCCCAATATACGGCGATTAGACATAAAATCATAAAATGATAAAATGACAAGATTTTATGCTTCAGTAACAAAATAAATATGCCTCCCTTACCTATAAATCTTACCGCGGTTCCAATCGCTTTCATTAATGCTGTATTAAAAAATGAAAATGAAGGTAACGATCGTAACACAAATTCTAGCAAAGCTCAGCAAACCAAATTGTTGACGTCCTCTGCCGAGAAAGAGGTTATTTTCGCGTGTATTCAAAGAATTGATGACAAAATTCGTGACATTAAGGTTCTCCATTAATATAAACCAATCAGAATTACTTAATACTACCGGCTTACAGTTCAATTTTCATAATATATTTTAATTTTTGTCTATATTCTTCGTAGGCTGAAGTATACAGAATAATTCTCAATCGACAAGATATATTCATTAAGCTTTATAATGAATCTATTTTCTTGCGCGATAAGATCAATACTATTTTTACAGAAATCGATAATGTATCTCGAGAGATCAATGATTCCGAGGTATTTTAATTATAATAGAAAACTTTCATACATATATTTGAATAACCAATAATTTGAAAATATCACAAGTACAGGTTGGAATGAAACCCAAACTCATCGCAGCATTACAAGAGAATCGAATAATAATGCAGGAAGTTCATAGTACTAGATATGTGGTTGAGACTTTAGAATACTTGATTGAGGTGTGCTTTATACCTTATTTTAAGTAATGCTTGAGTTCAGCTTCAATGTGTAAAAGATTCAACCGTTCGTTATTCTTATAATAAGGTACAAAATTCTGCTAAACGTTTTCAAGAGTATTTATCCCAAGGTCGAATAGAAGAAGCTGCCGCTTCAATTACACATATGGTATGATTAACAATATTCTTAAAACGCATTAATTTTACAATAAACTGATATCAAATATTGTCCTTTAGGATAGATTATTGGAGTCTCCACCTATACAAACAGATCAAAAAATCCATATTTTTGAAAAATTAAAGGTTAGTACGGAATTTTTGGATGAACATATAAGATATAAGATATCTTACAATATGTGCAAAAGTTAATATTAGGGAAAATTATATATACTGCGCTGAATATTCAAAAAACTATTTGAAATACGTATAGTCGTTATAAATTGATTCCAAACCAATAGAAGTGAAAACTATCATGTAACACTTTCCTTGCGTTAATATTCAGGAGCAATTGGCAACCATGAAAGAAACACTAGATCAAAATCTTGATGATCTTTTAACTGAGTCAATTTCTTTTCAAAAACTTGGTGAAGATGATACTAGTGGTGTTAGCCTTACAATCTTGTCTTCTGTACAAAGTCAGTTATACTCATTTATTTCAATTATTATAATGAATACAACCTTCCTCTTGTTTACATACATATATATTATTTCGTTCGGGTTAGATTCAGATTCACCAACACTTTTAACGTCCGTTTTTACTTCTCTCTCGGAAATTGGCTCGATTAATATGCAATTATCAAGGCTGAAAAAAAACGTAATGAAATATCTTATTATTCCGTTATTGAAAAATCGAGATTCATTTAGAGCGTCATTCAGGGTTGTTGACGTCAAATCCATGTTGTACATTGGTCCAAATTTGGATGACACAAACATAGTTGATAAAGACCGAGGTGACCTTGATACATTTAGTTTTTGTTGTTGTTCGTTTAATCTCGTTTTATGAATTAATATTTATTACTAATTTCTCAGATGGTGTATTTACACATCTTATTACTGTCTTCAGATTCATCTATACGTTCATATTTGGTGGCCTTGATCCAGTGAAAAAAGAGATTGTGATATCACCATTTGCCACTCAATATGCTTCTACATTCGGAAAGTTTATTTCTCATGATTTACGTGATGCTGTGATCAACGAGTATTTGTCGTATGCAATACCAATGGAGACCAGTGAATTCAAACAGTTTGAACAAGTTGCAGATGCCGTGAAACGTTTTCAAACTGAAATGCGTCGAATGGGATTCATGAGATCAACTAGTGGGGAAGAGGGAGAAGAAAGAACTTTAGGTGCGTACGTAGCAAAAGTAGATATACATTTTACAATTAAAAAGCGGGACAAATTACTGGAAGTTGGACGGAACATCATGTTAGACAATATATTTGATAGCTTAATAATCACTGAGGATTCCAATGACGTCAATGAGAATAGCAACAGAGAGATCAATGATGGTTCAGTTGAAAATAATTCAAGAGTAGAAAACAATTTAGAAATAAATCAAATAAATCAGCAAAGTTGTGAAGATGAATCTATTAATTCCACACAAGATAATAATCCTAATGAAGGATGGGAGGTTGATTGGGACGAAGCTTGGGATAATGCCGACAATTGGGATAGTACCAACAAGCAAAATGAGTTATCTAGGGAAACAAATGCCCATGATTCAGAGGTGGTCAAAGAACCAGAAAGATACTCTATTTCAGTCAAATCTAAGCCGCTAATAGATCTGACAATAAGCACTTTGAACGAAGCACGAAACCTAAATGAAAAGAGGTAATCTTTCTTTAACATAAATATTTATATTCATAATCCACTATGTCTTATTCTTACTTAACCTCCTAAATAACTTTATAATTAGTGGAATACGTCTATATAACGCAACGCTTGATCTTTTTGATCTGTATCGTGCCATTATGCCGGTTTATCACTCGAATAGTTTTACTAATGTACCTACTCTGTCTATGTTGTTCCATAATGATTGTATTTGGCTAGCGGATCAACTCATAATTATCCAAGATCAGTTTATGAACAGCTTATTATCACAAGAAAATAATGAATCAGAAAACTTTGAATCTAAAATATTATATAGTGATATGGCAAACAAATTACGGGATTTAGGAAACGAATGGTATGATATTCAACTAGTAAGTAAATTTTATTAAAGTGAAGTTTGGTCCACTCCTTTAAGACGATTATTTGATTTAATTTATTCCTGTCACAAGGAAAAACAAAAATCAGTTCTTAAAGAAATTTTGGACGAAATGGATGGTGTGCAACTAACGGCAAATGAAGAACGATTTGAAACTTGTCAACAAACGATGAACAAAGTGATGTATACTATAAAACACCTATCAAAAATTTGGAAGGTTAGCACCTTTAACATCTATTACCATTGAATTTCAGTTTGATATTTGGTTTAAACTGCGTTATTATGTTTTCAGGATGTGTTGCGACTCTCGGAATATTACATTATATTAGGCGCTTTGATAAATTCAGTATTAACTATTATGATCGAGAATTTAGAGGATCTATATGACATTTCCGCAGAAGAATCTCATCAATTAAATTTAATATATTCGATGCTTTTCCCGTTGGAAGAAATATTCAGGAAGAATGGGGTAAATTGGTTATTTTAATTATTTTCACCTGTTCATTTTTCACGTGCGCACACTTTTATGCACGTGAAAAATAAACACTGCTGTAAATTATAAGTTTATTGACATCCTTTTACATCATTGATAGCCAAATAAAATCGAAAATCATGTTAAATATTGGAAAAAATTCTGCTATATAACCGATATACTCGAATTTTCTTTAGCTAATATTATGGACAGATTCCGCTCTGCTGAACTAAATTGTTTTACTAGTAAAGAATTGGAAGGTCTCATATGTGCATTATTTGCAGATACTACGTTAAGAGAACAAAGTTTACAGGAGATTAGACGCGGGCATCCTGTTCCGGAAAATTAATTAATTTATTATGTTAAATTGTATTCAAGATTGTATTTAAACCCTTCCATTTTTAATATAATTATCTATGGCAAAAATGCTAATAAATTTGTAATGTATAAAATTACATGGGGTGTTCGAACAAAATCAAAACAATTTGCATAAAACAAAAATTAAACACTACCTAAGGTTAGAGTAAGGGTGGATTTGGGATAGAGGTGAAAGATATTATATACCAAAAAAATTTTTATAAGCGAAATTTTGGTTTTTTAAAGAAAGCAATAATTTTACGTAAATAATCTGATTGGCTTTTTATACTGTATACATGTATACAAATAGAAATTTCTATTATTGTCTGGAGCAGTGTGTGAAATTCAATTTTGATTTTATGTTCTCACTAGAACATTTTTAAAGTCTTAATGTTCTCAAAAATTTTTTAATGTTCTCAATATATAAAAATTAAATTTGCATAATGTTCTCAAATAGAGAACATATTTTAATAAATTATGTTTTTAAAATTTTATTAATGTTCTCGAGAACATTGAATTTAACACACTGGTCTGGAGTGTAGTGGAGGACGCTCAATTTCTATGCAAAGTGATGCAAAAGTTATGGTTTTGATACTTCAAAAGTATCGTTCTTGACACTTCTATAGTAAAATATCAAAAGCATAACTTTGTGTATCCTGTGTGATTCTTATAACGGTTTTCATTTCCTATGTATATATATAGTATTATATAGACATAAGCCAAATTTCTATTTTATATTTAATAGTAACTAGAATTACTAAATATAAAAATATACAAATTTAATTTTTTTATTAATAAACTAGGAATTTTTTTTAATAAGTTATTTAGTATAACAACAAGGTTCGCGTGGTACAGGATGCAGTTGCTGGGAGCAAAGCGTAGGGTAAGGGAAGTGTGAAAATAGGGTAATAGTGGTACAAATGGGAATGCATATTTTGAGTTAATAGAAAATAATAGAATAATGTTATATATATGTGAAGTGTATAGGTTATTTATTTGCGGACTGAACAAAACACCCTTGTTTGAATACTGAGCCATTAAATAGTGATTATGAGCCCGTTGAGTTTCATAACATACATTAGTCAGAGGCCCTAGTTGGTATTGCAACAATTTTTTGCATGACTAAGTATACACGTATAAATAACTTAGGTGATTGTTCTATCAACACAAAAAAAGTGGTTTTGGTTAAAAAAAAATTATTTGAGATATTTTTTTTAAACTGATATTAAAAGAATTAATTCAACATATGATTAAATGGTAGTGTTATTAGTGTTTAATATCATAGACTATAGTGCTTTCAAAAAAAGAATGTTGTCAGAATAAGTAAGATAAGTGTTAATAAAATTCGAGATGAGTATATATATATAAAAAATCATTTATCATTATATATACTTGTAATAAAGATTTTGGCCTAAGCCTGTTACAAAGATACAATAAGAATAGGATGTAACCTACAAAAGTGTGTTCCAATATTTAGGTCGGAAAGATTAGGTGTAATGGTTTGGGGGTGTTTTAGCATATACGGTCTTGGGCCTTTGGTTTGGGTTCATGGCAGGATGGATTCGAAAGATTATGTAGAAATTCTTGAAACTTGCTATGTACCCTATTTAAACAATTTA